TTTAGGGATTAGGATTTAGGGTTTAGAGCTTCGGGCTTAGGGTTTAAGGCTTAGGGCTCTGTACCCCGAGTTCACCAACCTGAGCCCCTCGCCACTTGAAGGCCCCCCCATATTCTTAGAAGGCTCTCGACCCTACCTGGGCCCTTAAAAGTAGTACCGTTTATCCTATAATACGAGAACCCAGGTAACCCCAAAACGTACTACATCTAAGGGTCCAGGTAAGGCTTACTAGACCCTTGACAACCGAAAGCCAAAAGTCTCGAAACCCAAAACCCTCGAAGCCCAGCCGCCATTTGCGAGTCGTCTGATCGCAAAGGCGACATGACCCTCGGAATAATTTTGGCTTCAAGGCGCTCTGTAAAGGGATGCATGAAAGGTTTCAGGGTTTAGGATTCAGGGTCTCGGTTTAAGGGTGTTCTGCAAAGGCTTTTTATTATCAGGATCAGGCTATGACCTGTTCAGGTTTCAGACGCTGTTTATGGAGAAGCATTAAATCTTTTGCTGTGCGGTTTAAGCAACCCTAAACCCGCCCTAAACCCTAAAGCGTCAAGGCTTGAAGCTAGGGGAACTTTTTGCAGAGATCTTGCACATCTACGTTTAAGTTCCACAGAGCATCTGCTTGGTCCTGCTAACTCAGCTTTATTTACAATAGTAAGACAAAGACAACCGCCCAAAAACAGACACGAACACCTAAGCCTCTATTTAGGGAGCTGGCCCTCTGGGGAAACCTGAGGGCAATATAGGGGCCTGAATAATCACCAAAACCCTTTTCTAATTATTTAGACCCCTATATCAGGCACTTCTAAACCCAAAGCCCGAAACCGAAACCCCAAACTGCCAGCGGCGCGGCGGGTTGTCGTCCGACGGTCCCAAGCGCAAGGGACGTGCGCCGAAAAACGACTTCTGGCGAAGACAATCAGCGGTCGCCTGTTCCCCCCTAAACCCTAAACCCTAAACCCCGCAGTAGTGCGGACTCCGGAACGGATAGCACACACTGCAAGCCTCCAATGGAGGTTTAGGGTTCAGGGTTTGGGTTTAGGGTTTGGGTTCAGG